CAGAGGTTAAATGCAAGATCACAAGGCTAATTAAGTGGCAGCACTAGACTACATCTGATTTCAAATCTTGGGTTCTTTTGTTCTAGGGCTGGGTAGTTAATTCTTTCCATTACAAGAATTTTATAGAGCCCAACTCGACTGTTAGCAAACATTAAAATGAAAATTTTGGTCAAAAAGAAGGTTCTGTATTTTTTCTTTCTTTTGATATATTTTATGAGAGCTATTAGAAATTTCTGATAGAGTTTTCCATCAGTTAGCCTAGAATCTATAGCTATAAAGGACCTCAAGACATAAACTATTCTTCTTCTGCTTCACAACTAGACAGAACTCAAGTATTGGCCATTGGCTTGGTCAGACTCTCTGTGATGGCAGAGCCAGGAAAAATTAATAATTTGGTGCCCCTTGAAAGAATGATTCTTTATAATTTTGTCAGCCCAATCTACAAAAATGGGCAATGAAAAGGAGGGCAGAAGGAGGCTCCTTGGTGGCTGTGCTTAATTTCCCCTCTATCGTCACAAGCCATTCAGCTTTGGCTCTGGAGTTGTTCCTCAAACCTATCCACTTGCTGGAATGACCACTCAGAAGTTACCAAGTCTCCCATCCTTAGATTGGGAGGTGGTTTAACACCATTCATGGTCAGTTCAATTTGCTCTCTGATGTAAAGAAGGAGGGAGAGGTGAGATGGGTAGGTAGGGCTTTCCATTGGCTTTATCAAACCATTCCTTCCAACATAAACCACTCTCTGTGAGAGGAGTTCTGACAAGTTCAGCTTTCTCCATCCTGCTAAATGTCCTGCTAAATGTCCCCAGTACTTGGGCAGTCCTAGCCTAGCATCAGGGGCTGCTGCCCAGCTAGCCTGTTCCTTCATTAAGGCACACGCAAACGAGTCTGCAGTATTTATTGGAAAGAGAGGAGGAGAGTCAAGGGTCCATTTCTTCTCTCATTAGAAACATGAAAAGTCTAGCCAATGGAGGTCTCATAAATTCACGAAGATCAGTGCGAGTGCTATAACTTATAATAGCTTTGCTCTATAAATGTCATAAGTTTGACATTACATAAACTAAATAAATAATCCCTTTGGCCTTTTCATGTATATTGGTTCATGCACTAGTGGTATGGTGGAGCTTATATTAAGATTCAGGGAGCCCGGATTTTGATTCCAGCTTTATTATTAACTTAGTGTGTGACCTTGAGCAAGTCATTCAATGTCTGACCCCAACCCTACACTGATAGTCCAGAATTGGCAGCAATGGGTATCGGGATATGCATCTTGATTATTTTTTCCCTTATTTTTTAAACTATGTTTGACAAACCTGATTAATCTTTGAGGTCTGCATTCCCATTTATTAATTAATTCAACAAATTTTAACGATTACCTACTATGCGCCAGGTACTGTGAACTGACAGACAGAATTCAATATTCTTGCGTAGCTTGCATTCTGTTACATTTTCCCAAGGAATAGCGATTTACACTAGAAATTATTAGAAAGTCAAACAATTTTCCTTGAACTTTGCTTCTAGTGAGCTGACTTATCACTGAAACTATTTTTAAAAGAAGTCAGTTACATAATTATTCAATTTGGGGGTGGGGTGGTTGAACATCCTAAACAAATACACTTTGCCTCAGCCCAGTTAGTGCTAAAACTAGCTTCTGGAAACCAACCCTTAATATAATCTTAAAAACAACAGCTCTACGAAGTTCCTCATGACAATTTGGCTTTTCCTGTAAAAACTTCAACTCGTTCATGATATTCAGTGTTTTAAAGGGAGAAAAATGTTTGCAGCCCTAATTCTAAGCATCGGCCTCATTCTGAGTGGGCCTGGGAATCACATAATTCTTTTTGTACTTCCACTGACACTCAGTTGTGGGTCTGGGTTCTCGTTCAGATACTGGAAGAGAGTACCTGAATGAGTGTGGTAAAGTGGGGAGTATTTCTTTAACTTAACCGGCCTCTTCTTTAGAGAATAAGATGTGTACAATAGCCAGAGTACAGAGGTTCAATGCTCTTTGTCCCCACTGTCAAATGTCATTTCAGTGATCATCTACTTACTGATGCTAGGCATTGGATGCCCTATAGAAGCTGTCCTGCCACTAATAATAGCTGACATTTAGTGAGCATTAACTATGTGCCAGGCTTGGTGCTAAGTGCTTTAACTACCTCATTTTATTTAATAACCACCAAAGAAACAACACATTTTACAGATGAAAAAATGGAAGTTGAAGGAAGTTAAGTTCCTTTTCCAAGGGTATGCAACTATTAAATGGCAGATTGGCATCTGAGACCAGATAATCTGATGCCCAGCCCCATGTATGTTAAAAATAATGTCTCTCTCTGTAGTCAACCAATAGGCTAACCAGGCAGATCAATCAAATACACATGAAATGATGCAAGAACTAATGGACTAAATAATGTCTTACTGTGTCTAAGTACAAAAGGAGGCCAGGGAATAAAAGAGCCCTTGGCTGAAATCAAAGAAGTAGTTCCTGAGCTGGCAGATTAAATTCCACTGAGAAAACATTTATTGAACATTTGCTTGGATGTTTGATATTATCAGAGATGCAAGTTTGAACAACATATACCGCTTCTCTGAAAGCATTTTTAACTCCTTAAGGAAGAAAGCTAAGTCACAGACACTTAGGACATGAGGGAGATGTGGCAAGTGCTATCATGGTAGTAAGAAGTCCACAAATCTTGGAGAGACTCATAGGAGTTGTGACTTTTGAGCTGGTTCTGAAATCGGAGTAAGGTAAGGAAGGAAGGAGTCAGCACAGTAAGGGAAATAGGTGAGTATGAAGAGTAAGTTCAGAAAGCAAAGGAAAGGGGAAGTTCAGGGCACATTTGAGGCCAGGCATGCAGACCAGTTTGGCCAGAATATAAAGTGTGTGGTCTAGAGGAGAGAAAGATAAGGCTGAAAATGTGGGTGGAGCTCCACCATGGCAGTCTTTGAATGCTAATTTAAAGAGTATAAAAGCCATTCTTTACAACGAGGAGCCTCTTGTAAATCTTTTAATTGGACAGTGCCAGTGATGAAAGGCCAGAGGAAGCAGGAATGCTGGCCGGACCAGCAAGGAGAAAGATTGACCGGCTGCGGCAAGATTCAGGTGAAAGGAGGGGGTGCTGTACCTAGGAGGTAGTGGGACCAAAAGAAAAAGAGGAAGGAAGAGTGAGTGTAGTGGGACCTTATAAAGGAAGAAGCAATAATTCAGCTTAACAAAGACACTGAGTGCTCTATGTCCTAGACCCTGAGACAGTAAGAAAATAAGATGTGCCTTCAGTGATTGAAGTCTAGGTGAGGAAAGGAGTTCAAACAGATGCCTTCAGTAAAATGGCAAGCATGTTAGTGCAGGACATGTAGTATACTAGGTAACAGTACGGATAGGCTAGGGAAACTCCTCTTTCCCGATAAATACGGCAGACTCATCTGCGTGTGCCTTAATGAAGGAACAGGCTAGCTGGGCAGCAGCCCCTGATGCTAGGCTAGGACTGCCTAAGTACTGGGGACATTTAGCAGGATGGAGAAAGCTGAACTTGTCAGAACTCCTCTCAAAGAGAGTGGTATTTGCTGGAGGGAATGGTTTGATAAAGCCGATGGAAAGCCCCACCTACCCACCTCATCTCTCCCTTTCCCTTTTCATCAGAGAGCAAACTGAACTCACCATGGATGGTGTTAAACTACCTCTCAACTAAGGGTGGGAGACTTGCCTCGAGGTTCAAATAAGATAGTGCATATTATTTGTAAATCGTTTACAGAGAAATTGTTACTGGGGTTTATGTTCTGGTGGGGTTAGATTTGAAGTAGATATCCTTGAGATGTGACACTGGAAATGATCATACTTTTAACGTATGTTTCACAAGAACCTGGTCTAGCACTATGGTGTTCTCAAGATCACAAGAGCGGCTGCCAGAAATCAATTAGAACAACTTCTTAATTCAATTTATTCAGTCAACAAATATTTATTGAGGGACTGCTATGGGCTTTGAGGTATAGTAAGCAAACATAGGCTATCGTTCCATCCAAAGAGCGGTGCAGTTGTGTCAGGAAAACAAAACCAACACACGAAGAACGGATGCCTCTTTGTACCAGAGTTACGCACAGTATCTTACGTTTGAAGGAACTTTTCGCTTTTTATTTACTCACTACACAGATGAAACAAAAATTGCTTACATTTCTACAGCATTCTACTGCTGAAAAGGTATTTTTTTACATACATGATTCTTTTACTCCTTCCAACAAATCTGCAAGCTGGGCACCGGTAGCTCCGGTTCATAAATGCACAAACTAAATTCGTAAGTTTCAACACCTTACACAAAGCAATCGCAGAGGTATGGAGCCTGGACTCTGTGCTCCCCCACATGGCCAGCGGCTTTGAGTTTACTGAGCAACCCCATGGGTTGGACTGGGCCAGTGCTGGCATGGAGGAGGTGGACACAGGCGCATACAAGGATTCACCTTACCTGACCACTAGAGGTTTCTGTCCTGGGGGTGGTGGTGCCTTGGGTGAGTATCTGCTGGGAAAAAAAGTGCATCAGTGAACGAATGAGACGGTTATTGATGAGCTAGGTCGTCATGATTTTGATCAACCAGGGTAAACGTGCCGCACCGCTTTCTGGGGGCCTTTCCTCCTACGCACAAGCAGGCGCTGGGTAGAATGTGACCAGGCAAAGGAAAGGCACAAAAGTCCTGGGGAAAATACGTCCAGGGTAGAAACGAAGGCTCTCTCCCTTCGCTGAAGGCACTTCCCGTGACATGGCCAAGCGCTTGCTGGCCTTGGTGCCCCCGTTTCTCCCCCTCCCCCCGTAACCCCGACTCTAGGGCCCAGGTGGGCCTGCTGGACGCATTCACCAGCACCCGCAGCCGCAGGGGGCGCGCCACCCGCGCCTGCGACCTCTGCAGGAGGAGCCGGGCTCAGCCGAGCCTTGGCGGCTCAGCGCCGGGGCGGGGCCAGGGGCGGGCGGGGCCCTGGGTGGGCGGGGCCCGGGAGGCGGCGGCCGTTGCCGGGCTACCGGAGAGCGCGGAGCCCGCGGCGCGGGGAGGCGCTCGGCGTGCGCGCAGTGAGGAGCCCCCGGCCCAGCAGCCCTCCCGGTACGCTGCACCCGGCCCTTTCCGCGCGCCGCTTTGGCTGCGAGTCCGGCCTGGACCTGCAGGGCAGGACGGGGAGAGGGGGCGGCGGAGCCTCCCAGGTGACGGCAGGTAGGTGTCCCGCCTCTCCGGGGGCGGCGCGGCGGTCCCTAGCCCTCGCCCCGGGTGGATCCCCGAGGAAGGGCAGCCCGGGAAGAGGCGGCTGCCGAACGGGAGGCTCGCTGGCGAGGGCTGCTCCCGTGCAGAGGAGGAGGGCGAGCGGACCGAGCCGGGCGAAGGCGACCCTCGGGCAGGGGTGACAGCCAGGGCAGAAGGACTTGCCAGGGCAAGAGGCATCGGAGATGCTGGAACCTAGGAAGCCGCGGCGGGAGGGACGCGGGAGGGTGAACGCCTCTCCGGTCTCAGTCGGCAGGGGAGTGACGGGACTTAGTCTTTCCAGGCAGGGATCTTGTAAATAGAAAACCTGCTTGTGAGGCAAACGTTCGTGGGTATGTAAATAAATCTGCGTGAGGCTTAACCCGGGCCTTGAACGGTGGGGCTGCAGGGTCTGTCCTGGGCACCTCGCAACCGCGCGGCGCCCCTGCGTGGACTCGCGCTGCTCGGGAGGAACCGTGCGCAGGCCTGGACTGCCTACCCGCTGTAGCTGGGGAGGTGCAAAGAGAACACTCACAGCACTTACAAGTAGTCCATAAGCATAGCATTCCGTGGAAAAAGAACGTTTCGCAAATATCAGCACTATTAGTACAGTGATGGGTAGAGCATGTAATAGATTAGAGAGAAACGTCAGTGCTCACAGCCCTTGCCTAGGTTCTGATGCCATTTCATGGAATAGAAATTTACTAATATACTCCTGGAGATGAAATTTGGAAGGATTAAAATTCAAGGATGATATGTTTTGATGATAGCCAACGATTCATCAAACATACATTTAAGAAACCCATGTCACCTTTTGCATTTTCATAAAAGGACTCAATTTGCAAACAAAACCTTAAGCCTTGTTCAGTATTTCTTGAATTGAAACAACTTAACTCAAAATATTTATGAAGGTGTAATTTTTACTCCATTGATGGTTTTCCTTTATTAGAAGACAATTTCGTCACATAAACAGGAAACAGTTATTGTTAAACATGACTTATGCAAACAGAAGATTTTAATATGCTGTTATTTCATGATCAGATACTTCTCTTCAAAAGGGAGGATTATACTGCTTCAGTTCAGGATTTACTTGATATGTTTTCTGTTGTGCAGTTTTACCTTAGGCATTTTTGCCAATGCTACTTTCATCTAGTTTACAAATATTTCAAGCACTAATTATTCTCTAATTTAAAGATCAGTAACTTAGAAGGGGTGAGAATTGAGTACCACTGTGGAAGAAAGTGTTTGACATTAATTATTATTCACAGAGATGTGGGTAGTTAAAAAGAATTTATCTTTGGGTGATATTTATCAAGTCATCCTGAAAATAATACAAAACATAAAAATGCAATTTCATTACAAAAATATTACCTTGACATCAATACATGGAACATTATCATGAGCTCTGTAAGTTCTTTATTTTTTAATCTATGAAAATGTCTTATAACATCTTCTTTATTACTGAGGCCACATGACTTTATTGACTTGAGAATTTTTTCCATAGTAAGTGTTAGTATTTTCTGGGATGTTGATGGAACTTATCTGTCCCTTTGATGAGAGTGTCTTTTGACTCTGAGCCCCAGGCTGCATCTTGAATTTGAAATTAAGGACATGTAAAGACTTCTTACGCACTTGAAATTGCAGTGTTAGAGTACCTTTCCTATCTAGAAACTTGAATAAGGAACACTGCTAGTATATAAGTAGCTGTAAGAGGCTTTTCAAAAGAACAGAAAATGCATTTTTTTACTTCAGATAATCATTAGCTTTAGTTTATACCTACCTACACACATATATGAATAGAAAATGAATGGAGACAGGTAATTGTCACATGCTGTCCTTAATATGTTAGTTTAATATGTTAGTTTAATTTACCAGTTACAGCTCTAGTACATGACTCTAGGGCATGTTGGGGACTTTTGAAACATAAGTGAGGAAGTCTGCTAACACTCATGAAGAGAATTAGATTCTCCTTTTTCACCTATTTAGATCTTTGAACTGAAGCTTAACCCAACCCCCTGTGACTAGTTCCATCATTCAGAAATTAACAGAACACACACGAAAGAACTGCAGGCATCTTGAATATATGGAGAAAAAGCTAGTCCTTTTAAATCTGATGAGTCAGTATTTAAAGTCAAGCATTTAAAATTCGGGAAAAGGCTAACATGCCCTATCTGTGTTGACTACAGGTTGAATGAGAATACCCACCTTGAATAAATGTACACTCCAAATAAATAGATGGCTACTTATGTGATGAGAGCCAGGAACAGTTCAACAGTGAAGTACATTTGTCTCATGGCAGCTGATTACTAAACGTTCATAGCCTTTTTAAAGTAACTTTCTAGCTGAAGAAAAAAGAACAATAAAGCAGTATGAACACAATTTCTTTTCATGATTTACGGGTTAAGCAGTGAGTTCATTCATTCTATTTTATCCGGCTAAAATGTTTACATTTAAAAGTAAGATGTTTAAACAGTATTGGGCTATCTTTTAGTCCACACATCACAGAATATGTACCTTTTACACTGAAGTTTTAAAACCTGGAGTTTAAAAAGAGAACAAGGACCCCTCAGCAATTAGATTAAATGAAGGAACTTGTAAATCTAAAGATTAAATATTATGTAGCTACTCTTCAGTGGGCTTGGATAGGTCTAATATGAGGAGATCTAAAAGAATGGACACCACTTACACTGGAAAAGAGCACTTCAGATGTTTCAAAGAGAGGTTTTGGAATTGATCCAGACTTCTAAAATAAAAATTGAAACAGCTGTGTTTTAGAAATGGTGATGCACTGTGTGAGATACACTGTGTCGGCATGGGAGGTCCCCACAGTCCTTGATGCTACAGTTGTTCTACTTGTATTTTGAGATAGAGAAACATTTATGAATGGGGGGGCATTTATGAATTGCCTGGGTTACAATATGCTACATTTTGAGAATACTGACTGATTTTCCGAAAGCAAGAATGATAGAGTCTACCACTCAGAGAAACAAAAAGAATTAGCCTCCAAAAACCCTATCCTAGGTTAAGTTCTGTTTAGGGGAAAGAAAAAAAAAAATTATAAAAGGTTGACAGTGAGTGGCCCCTAATGTTTTTGAACTTTGGGGGAATTGAAGATATTGTGTTTGGCAACAGAACATTGTAAAGCTTGTTGAGTTTTTTAGTAGAAAATATTTCATGATTTGAAAAAGGGAAATCTTTCTCATTCCCCAGCCAACAACAATATGTATGTGCTTATTACTGCATGCCTTTGAGAGCTTCCTAGGCTACAAAAGAGGCTGCCAACTCTGTGATGTAGGAAGAATGATTTTCAGAACATAATGAAATTGAAGGCTAAGATACAGGAAGACTAGAAGCCAGGGGTTATTGTCCTGTTTGGAAATAGCAGTACCCTAAATTTCTAACTGATTTTTTATTCTCTCAGCATATGGGACTGACATTATTTCTAAGCCATTTATGATTATGTTCCACCATTAAAATGTAAAAGACTGTATGTATAGCATTGGCTTTATTTCAATGCTGATTTTATAAATTGTAAGCCTGCCAGTTTACTTTAATGTTGATTTTTTAAAAAATATTTCAGTTTATTGCATACTGGAAAAATGTATGAGTTGAGTGTAGCTTTATTACATAATGGTGATACAGTTTTATGAGATGAAAACTTACCTATTGCATGCATTGTATGTTAGATAATAAATCAAATAACCTTAAAAGTATGAAAAAATAAAGAAATTCATTTGTTCTAGAAAAAATACCCAGATTATTTGAATTATTCTGAAATTCATCTATTTTGGTCATTTGTAAGATAAAAAATAAAGATCATTCTCAGAAAGGTTACTGAATTAGGGGGTGCCTGGGTGACTCAGTCGGTTAAGCATCCAACTCTTGATTGCAGCTCAGGTCTTGGTCTCAGGGTTGTGAGTTCAAGTCCTTTAAAAAAAAAAAAAAGGTTACTGAATTGTTAAAATTAGAAAAATAAATACCAGATTCTTCTTTAATGATCTTTGTTAATATTATAGCACTGTATTCAAGAAGTGGGGTCCTGAACTGAATTGTGTTCTAATTTATATCTCAATCTCAAGTTATAGTTGCACATATTTTCCACATATATTGCTTTAGCCCTTATAAGAATCCTAAGAGCTAAAATGTCATTCCTAGTTAGTGAATTTCTTCATTCATTCAACGTGTAATGGGCACATATTGTGGGTGAGCTACAGTTCTAGAGCAAAATCACAGTTCTTGTCATTAAATCCTCAAACCATAATTGGTTTGGTTGGTGCTGGAGTGAAGGGAAGGAGCTCAGTGTGACAATAGGGAATGGTGAAGACTGGGGCACTGGAAAGTACCTGTTCTTCTGTGTAAGGGACAACTGATGATCAGCTCTAGCTCATGTTGCCTTGATGTGGGACCAGATTTTCTAATTTTTCAGGAAAATTCTTTATTTTTCTATTGAAAACTTATTTTAAAAAATTAAGTGCTGCAGTGACTGAAGAAAATAATGCCTCTGGCCAGATGCTACACGTGGCCTGCAAAGAGAGTGAAATAACTAGGTAATTATGCTATGAGGTAGAGATGAGCCCAGGGTGCAGTGGAAACACAAAGGAGAAGTGCCATGCGAGATTCAGGAAGATCCCAGAAGAACGCTGACAGATTGTGGGGCAGGTATGGTAGATATAGTCACAGTACATATAGGAAGGTTCCCAAGGCAAAAGAGGGGGCAGCAGTTGGGCCCACTGTAGGTTGAAACAACCACTGTGGTTTGGGATCCAGGGGTCTGCCCAGCCAAAAAGAAATGGAGCCTAGAGCTGCTCCTCCCTAGCGGGCTCCTACGAAGGGCTGCCTGAGACCCTGCCTCTTTGCCTATTGACACACCAGCACAGGGTTTCATGATTTGGACAAGGAAGTAGAAGGGGTGTGCCTTTCAGCACCTGTTGGATTTATCCCCTTTAGAGACTGGCCAATCGGGACACGTCATATTA